ACCCAGAACCCTATTACTGCTCTTGTATGCCTTTCAAACAGAATTCTCGAACTCATTACGAGGTACATGGAGGACTTGGTCTTGGCCTTTGGAGAGCTATTCCCGCTCAAGATGGACTCTGCTGACCTATGGCCCGGGAAGCATTTAAATGAAAGCGACGTGGATGGCAATAAGCCATCGAAGAAGATACTCCTTAGGACGAGTTCGACAAGAGTCGCTAGGTCGTCCCGCGTGAACGAGCATTGACCTCCACCCCAAGCTCTGTATTGCGAACATCCTACAAATGCGAGCATTTCCAATACAACCCCAGGAGAACGGTCGACCCTTTGGAAACAACATCCATCATTCGGAAAAAATAATGCACCCAGGATTCAACGGCTAGCGACCGAGACTGCTTTGTCCTTGTCAATGAAAATCTGTTCCGGCAAGTGGATGAAGAGAAAGCATCCAGGCATGCGGGCTTGCCCAGTGTCGTATCCGCTTGGTGTGCCCCTTAATCCTCTGGTCCAGCATTCTTTCAAGGACGACTCAAATTCCCTGCCCCTATATTGCGAGCTTGTTATCGGATCATGCAGAGGTCCGTAAGACTTCATCGCGAAGAGTCGACCAGATAGACCAATACGGCCTTTTATTTGAGCACATCCGTTCCCCCTGGCTACAGAGCTGAATTAGATTGCGGAACGCGACCGCCTTCCGCTGAATAATAAACATTCAACTGCCCTGCCACCCTGAGTGCCGGCGATCCTGAGGCCCCGACCCTCCGCAAGCTGTAAGAGTTATCTCCGAACAAAGTTCCACACAGGCGATATGCGGACCCCGAATTCATCGGCTTGTTGAGACGAGTTTGTTTGGATGAGATTGTTGGCTGTCTTCTCAATAAACTCTCGCGGCTTGACAGGTATTCTGGGCTCAACCATTGGGCGAAAGCCATTTACTCGGCCAGACAAATCTCTTCCAAGAGCCCCAGCCCTTTTGAAGAGAGGCATCTCCACAATTGCCAAAAGCAGAACTATTTGTATTGTACGGAGCACGGAGGACAATCCGAGCTTCCCAGAACCTGCAATGCGTGCTCAACCCGAACCCCCAATGCAAGATATGAGGCGTCGCGACGATATCCCCGAAGCGAGCCCCACGAGCTCCGCAGGTTCATATATATACGGGACGCGTCTGCTGTGTGGCATAATGAGATCTCTGGGGGGGTAACAGGTCTCCTCTTTTCCAAAAGCTGAATGCTTCATCGGAATGACTGTTGAAAATTTGCAGCACGCACCCCCGTGTTTGTCGCTTGATTTGGAAGCACCAGACGGGAATGCCCCACAAAAGCAGCCTCTTGAAAAGGAAATCAGTGCTGGGGATGGAATTTCACATCAAAGCAGCAGACCCCTTGCGGAGTCCTTCTCGCTACTGCACGAGATCCTCTTCGTGGGCATCATATGCACTGCACAGGTCACCACGCAAGTCGGCCTGGGCCAAGCACTTTTCATCATCCATGACATAGGACAAAGCTTCGATCTCACCAACCCCGGCGAACTGACATGGCTGATTGCCGGGTACAGCTTGACTGTTGGGACATTTATCCTCATTAGTGGACGAATGGGGGATATGTTCGGATACAAACGAATGCTGATCATCGGATTTACCTGGTTCTCGCTCTGGTCGATGATCGCCGGGCTAGCCATATACTCAAATCACGTCCTGTTCGTCTTTGCTAGGGTCTTCCAAGGAATTGGGCCTGCCATCCTCCTACCAAATGGGGTCGCTCTCCTCGGTGCAAGTTATGCGAATGGCAGCCCTAGAAAAGATATGGTATTTGCAATCTTCGGTGCCTGTGCCCCTGGTTAGTCAATATCTTCAGATCAACCGGCTTTGCTCATTGTACTGATGTGCCACTCTTCAGGCGGCTCGCTCATCGGCGGTGCTTTTGCAGGGGTCTTCGCTTTGACATGGTGGCCGTGGACATTTTTCTCTTTCGCCATTAGCCTCGCCATCCTTGCAATCGTCTCTTTCTTCGTCATTCCCGACCCACCCCAAAGAACTGAATTTGTGAATTATTCCCTCCGAAACAAAATCGAGCTCCTTGATCTGCCTGGCGCGGCGGTGGGCGTTACCGCTCTGGTATTGTTCAATTTCGCCTGGAATCAAGCACCAATTGTGGGTTGGCAAAAGGCATATGTCTACGTGACCATGCTCATCGGAATCTTGCTGGTGCCTTTATTTTTCTACATTGAGCTTCGGGTCTCCAAAACTCCTCTTGTGCCTTTCGATGCACTAACTGTGGATGTCGGATTTGTATTGTCTTGCATCATCTGTGGTTGGGCTTCATTCGGTAAGAACCCTTGCAAGAAGTGAGTATCTCTTAACTAATCGGCGGCAATCTAGGTATATGGGTTGTATATTTGGTCAATTTCCTAGAGATTCTACGAGGCGCCTCACCTTTGCTTACCGTAGCATACATGAGTCCTGTGGCTGTTTCGGGCGCTTGTGCATCCGTCGCTACCGGGATCCTCTTGTCCAAACTTCGGCCTGCAACCGTCATGACGATCGCGCTTACATGGTTCACCGTTGGACACATTCTGGTGGCCACTACCCCTGTCCACCAAACGTACTGGGCACAGACTTTCGTCGGACTGGTGATTATACCTTGGGGGATGGATATGTCTTTCCCTGCGGCAACAATCATTCTCTCGAACGCAGTGCGCAAAGAACATCAAGGTATCGCGGCCAGTCTTGTCACCACAATCATCAACTACAGTATATCTTTGGGACTGGGGTTCGCAGGGACCGTGGAGGTGCACGTCAACAACGGCGGGCGCACGCCACATGATATCTTGCTGGGGTACCGTGCAGCATGGTATCTTGGAGTCGGGTTCGCCGGGCTCGGATTGTGTATAAGTATTGTGTTTCTGCTGAGAGACTACTCTAAGCGCAATGCGAAGAGTCGTGTTTAACCATAGGAGCAATGTTTTACGGCGCCTGTGGGCCCCATCAATCTGTATAACAGTGGTTTTTTTTTTTTATCTGGATTGATCCATTTTTAGACTTCTGATTTAACATCATGTTTAATTCCTGTTGAACCTACAGAGAATCGATGCGAGGTTGATTCAGACTCGAGAAATACTTAGATCAAGAAGCTCGTGCGTTAAAGTATAAGGATGCTGCGGATGCGAAGCGCCGAGACGAGTCTCTAGTCCTTGAGATACGGACTTGGATAACTATAAGCCAGAAGCCGTCATCCAGATTGTAACATAGCTCTCGCGCCCAAGAACTCAGGGAATAGGAAAGTTCAGCCTTGTCCAGCCTCGCCACGATAAGTTTTCTGGATGTACTCAATCGGATTTGTGGTCGACAGTACATTTAATGCAGCGGATCATACAGCAGGACATGCGATAACCATCTCCGCACAAGCGAACTCCATCACGCAATAATATTGCACTACATCGTTGCCCCATCATCGCCAATGCGCATGGTAGAAGCCCCGGAGCAGGTACCGTTCCCAGTGATGGATGGGACAAGCCGCTCTTGCTCACCATGTCCTTGACCTTCACCCAAGGGTTCCTCCTGGGACAGCTCTCGGTGGTGCTCTTTCTAGGATGCTTCATCAAGTTCTTCATCTTCGGTGAAGCGCCCTCGCCGCCTTCGCGACTAGCAGCTGCTGCGACTCGCCGAACGCCCACGTCCAAACACGTCCGGACGACGTCCCTGCACAGTCTCGCGTCCTCCAAGACTCCCACGCCTCAATCGCTGAGGACCAAGGCCAGCGCCGCCAATATACTTCGTCCTGTGCCGACCAATGCCACCGACATCGCCTCGATCCTGCGGAAGACATACTACCAGATCCCCAGCAAAAGTCATGGTCACGGTCATGGCGGTCATGGCAAGCATCATCACTCCACGCACCAGCCAGAGAGTCTGGACTGGTTCAACGTCCTGCTTGCTCAGACAATAGCACAATATCGCCAGACGGTCTACAATTTGCGAGATGGCTCGGGAGGCTCCTCAGCGATTCTAGCAAGCCTCGAGGCGACGATCAATGATCCTGAAAAGAGGCCGTCCTACATAGACAAGATCAAGATTACTGAGATTTCCATGGGTGAGGAGTTTCCCATTTTCAGCAATGTCCGTGTGATCGCTATCGACGACGATCTTTCGAGTGCCACTGGTGGAAGGCTGCAAGCTTTGATGGATGTCGATCTGTCCGACGATAATCTCACCCTGGCCATCGAAACCGCACTCATCCTCAACTACCCCAAACCCTTTTCCGCCGTGCTGCCAGTAGCTCTTGCTGTCTCGGTCGTAAGATTTTCTGGCACTCTTTCCATAAGTTTTGTCCCTGCTACAGAGGACGACCCCTCCAGCGAAAACAAGCATGCTTCCTCGGGTAAGCCCAAGACCAATCTCGCATTTTCCTTCCTCCCCGACTACCGACTCGATATTTCTGTTAGAAGCTTGATCGGATCCCGCACTCGCTTGCAAGATGTACCCAAAATTGCTCAGCTGGTCGAAGCACGAGCACAGGCGTGGTTCGAGGAGAGGGTTGTCGAGCCAAGAGTGCAAGTGGTTCCGTTGCCTGGTCTATGGCCACGGATGGGCAAAACCAGGGTGAGAGAAGGTCAGGATGATGAGCGACCTGCTACTCAGGACGACCGCCGATCATCTTCATTCGTTGACCATCGCAAGGAGCCGAAGCCGGAGGACAATTTCCCATCCCAAGAAGAAACCGACAGAATGTTTGAGGGCCTCAGGTGGCGTACTGCTCATCATCGTGCCGACAGTCAAGTCATCGAACACGAAGATGATGCTCTAACTCCTCAACCCTTGCGGGTTATGCCTGGAGCTCTTCCGGCTTCATGAGAAAGGCCCAACCAACATTCTTGCACCACATCAAGGTCATGACTTTGTTGGAGCCGGCCAAGTCAGCGGGTCGCTGCTCGTCTGTGTACATTGTATTGCTCAGTGCGATTTACAACAATGGCAGGACGTCGCTTTGAGTGAATATCCATTCAAGTGGCATCTATTGTGCTTGGTGGGAACATCTCATCCCATAGCCATCGAAGAGGCTCACTGCAAACCGGTTTCCACCACAAGAACCTGGAGCAAATCAACTCAAGGATGGACCAGTCTTGGATCTGCAAAAGTAAAGTCTGCTGTAGCAGCTGCTCAATATACCAGGGTCGCTGGGGCGTGAAGTTTGATGCGATTGCCCCCAACGTGAGAGACCATAGTAAGACCTGACTGTGCAAATCCCAACATCCGAGAAGGTCGCAAGCTTCCAGGGTCTGACGCAGCATCAGAGCAAGCCTTGGTTTCACTCTTTGCTGGGGAGGAAGGGGAAAGATGACCATCTCACTAAAAACCAAGGTGCCCAAACGCACGGCGTGATGGACACACAGTTCCGGACGCGACAGATCCAATGGACACGGCATTTGAGAGAGGAGTCTATGCTGTGTGCAGTTGCGGACCTCCGAGAGCTCTTCGACCTCGGGGGCCGTGGGGCCACCACGCACATGATGATCTAACGCCACGGTGACCTCGGAGAAGGCGTCCAAGACCTCGAGCAATTGCCGGCCGGCAGGGCTTTGACGGAGGTATCGAAAACCTGCGCCGAGTTTGGAGTCTAAGTCGATTGCGACGGGGTCGAGCACATGTCTTCCTGTGGAGACGAGCGACTTGACGGGGTTGCGCCACGGGAAGTTCGGACTGCATGCGTATTTTGAAGCAAAATAGACATCACACCTGGACATCGTCGTTGAGAATCAAAAGTTTTCTGGTTCAGGGTGGAGGAAAAACACAGACAGCAGCAAAACTTACAATTGTAGCGTATCGGCCATTCCGTACAACTCAACCCTATCAAGCCCTCCTTTCCGACCGATCAAAAGCAAGATCCCCTGGATGTGCTTTTCATCATTGACCATGGCGCCGTAGACATGGAGGTTGTTAACTTTGGCCATGGGAGATATGGGGTGGATTGTTGGATACACCGCATCGTCCCTGGTGTGATGAATACTCATAATCGTCACGGCCATAATCAGCGCATCGGTGGGTACACTACTTGTAGTCGAAGGTGCTGCGTTCTCGTTCCCGTTCTCGTCCCCGTTTCCGTTTTCTCCCGATGATGCGATGCTGCTGCGGTCTTGTCCTCCCTTCCCTTTGCAAGAGGAGGAGAGACTGAGCGCTTGCAATTGCTCGTTCACCAACTTGATCGTCTCGACCTTGTGCGACAGGCGCAACAAGGGTGCTGAATCGTTGATTTCTTGGCCGTTGTAGGCGCAGAGGACGTGATACGAGGCCGCGTAGACGAAGGCGTGGAACGCGACGGGGTGCTCCATGCCGCACTTCAGCCAGGCCGACTTGACGGGGTTCATGTTGGAAAGCGACCGTTGGACGGGGACGGTGTTGGGCCAGGAGTAGGTTAGAGCCTGTTGTGTAGCGGAAATGCCGTGCAGCTTGTCAGTAACGATTAGACTTCCCCATTCTTTGTCGCCTGTTGGGAAATGGGGATTCTCCCCTTCAACCAGCTTAGGCGGAGGAAGGGGGCTCTCGGAAGGATAGTACATACGTGGTCGAGAACTTGATGGATGAAAAGGGGCACGCCCTGGACCGGGAGAGCGTCGAACGGATCGATTCGACCTTCGCCAAGGACTGACTTGAGACGGCGCGAGGTGTTTAGCTGGAGAGCGACGACGCCGTTGCGGTCGTCGTCGGGAGGAGTGCACGGCGGTCCTCTTCGCCTGGACAAGCCGTTGTCCTCTCCCTTCTCGCCGTGCTCTTCGTCCCCGTGATCACGAACTTGATCACCATCTCGCGGATCTCGCGCAGGGCCTTTGCGATCTGTGTCTCGTTTCGATCTCTCGATCGGGCCTGCATCTCCTTCTCCTCCCCTTTTGAGCGCCTCGAGGCGCTTGACTCTCAATGCCCTGTGGTAGTTCTTGGTGATGTGCTGAAACACTTGACCGTTAAAAAGTGCCCCAAAATTTCTAACCTGGCATCGCCGAATGATAAGGAGATATGGGCGTGGAAGGAAGTTCATTTCCTTATTTCCTGGAATGGTCGGGTTTCTTCAGGGAGACGAGAAACTTACCGCGCGTACTTCACTGGGGCCACCTCGACGTCTCTTCTGGCCCTTGACTGGTTCGATGGGCTTGGAGTATTCGACAAACATGAACCGGCTCGCGGGGGCGTTACACGCCATTTCGGAGCGAGCTTGCTCATCTACCTACCACGGCACCGAGACAGGGCTGAGTTCTGGTCGTCGAAATCGAGTAGGAGGGGATATGATCTAGGTGATGAGATCCAGCGCGAGGGGACGCGGGCCCTGGCTCTGGCCGTTGTATCCAACTCCGTTGTCGCAGCCAAGTTGTTGCCGCTATTTCTTTCCCAAGGGGCCCCCGGAGGTCGATGGTATAGAATTGATAAAAGCCGAGATATGAAGCAGGGAATGTTATAGCTAAAGAATATGGATAATCTTGAAGTCGGAAAATTGAGGAAATGCATGTGTCAGCAGGGCAATAGGGCAGTACTTGGGCAGTATTAGGTGTTATGGATGAACACAGCATTTCAGGATCTAACAGGGCCTAGGCCTAAGCTGTAAGGCGCTGGCTGCTCGGTGACCTAGGGTGGCCGGGCAAACGAAACGATAGGCGACACAGTAAGATGCCACAGAGGCTAGAGATGCCTAGGTAGGTCGCCTAAGAGAAATGCCTACTAGCCTCGCTAGCCTAAAACAGCAGCCTTAGTGGGCGGGGCTCAATAGCCTCAGTGGCTCGTTACGCCGGCTCTCCAGGCGGGACCCATAAGCGGAAAATGGTCGACTTTGGTGTCACCCCCGCGTTTTCGTTACCAACGAGCTGGCGGGCTTTGTTTGCTTTGTTGCTTGCGCAGCACCCGCCACAACACTACACCACACCACACCATCACCTCTTCGAAACACTTCCATACCTGTACGCCACCTACATCCCTACCAATCTCGATATCTGCGGAAGATCGGAATTCCGGGCAACTCCAGGTCTGGAGGAGTTATGGGGCCTGCGGTGAAAGTTGAACTCGGAAGACAATTCCCAAGACCTGTGCGAATCGGCACGGAAAAAGAAACCGATGATATCTGACCACTGGTGCCGCCACCGTCTACCTTACTGTTCCTCGTACCATGCATCTAATTTCCCCCTACCTACGTAGGTACTAGAAAGTATGTAAAGAGGTTATAAATTTGTTCTTCGGTCCCCCAAGCTTTGGAAACCAAATCTGCCCGGATCTCCGGCTTTGGCTGCCCACCTTTTTACCCTTCCGGATGATGCTCCTCGTTACTAAGCACAGCAACGACAGTAGCGGGAGTACAAGCACTGGCAGCCACCTGCCCGCAATGTGACGTCGTAATTCAGTCCTGGAACAAGCAAATCCCTAGAGAAAAGCCTAATGTAGACCGGTACGGCTTTTAAGCGAGGAACAGCGGCTCGTGGAAGCGACCGATTGAAAGCATGTTCATGCCAAAACAATTCGATACTGGAGGCACCTAGCAGGAAAGTCTCAAATACTGCTTACTTCTATAGGTATGGAGAGAGCGTTTCTGCGAGTTGCCAGCCATACCGGGCAGCCCCAATCTAACGTCAGCCTTGCCGGACGTTGTGCATTGTTTCTTTGGACCACTAGGAGGCTACTGGACTGCTCTCTCTTTATGGTTAATGGTGGTATTCGCTCTCAGAACCAAGAGATTTGCAAGATCTCCCCTTCGGAGGTGGGATCCTGCAGTACAACGCTCTATGATCAAGGCGTCTGCTGCAATATGAACCTTTTGTGGACTCTGCGTGTTTAGACAATGCCATGGTCGGACCAGGCAGGAAGAGGCACAAAGGACATTTTTGTTCCCAGTTCTTGCTTAACCAATATGCGTTGTATTGGATGTGGAAGTCGTTTATATCATATCAAAGACCCATGGTACGTCGTGCAATTGGCACCTTTGTGATGGGATTCCTTCCTTGAGCTCAACTATTCACAAACGTCTCACCTGCCATCTTCCGGCCCATGGATTTTTCTTTTTGTTTTTGTTTCTTTTTTTTATGCTACAGAAACGGCATCTCTGGTTTGGAGGTAGTTCTTGCGATGTTCGTTGATGTCGGTCTCTGCACCACGGTTTAATGGCGTCCACTTGGGCTCGTCTTGGAACAAGCGCACAGCCTTGATGTACTGGTTTTTTTTCAGTCAGCAGTCGCCCAAAAATGATTCCAGTCACATTAGATGAGTCGTTCCACTCACATTGGCCTCGTCGGTGGTGAATCGGTGATAGATACCCGCAGGGAGAATGATCAGATCATCCTTTTCAAGCCGAATCCTGACCCAGTCGTCTTCCTTGGACCTAACGTCAAAATAACCTGCTCCGTCCCGGATGTATCGAATCTCCTCGTCTTCATGTAAGTGCTCGTTAAAGAACATCTTCACCTTGTCTTCATAGACGGCACCCATGGCTTGTGGAGAGACGGTGATCTCATCGCGGTTCTTGTATTTTCTTTCTTGAGCCAGGGCGTCGACCGAGGACAGTTCTGGGCAGTGGTGGTACAGAACGCCGAGTTGGGCCAGGTAAGAGGGATCAACTGCACGGCCGGAGTCATGCGGGAGGCGCTGGTCGCCCTGCGGAACGGCGTTAGCAGTGAAAGAGGCGGAATCAGCCTGAGACGCGTCGTGGATTTACCTCTTGGTTATCGAACCAATATGCCTTCATGGTGGTTGCGGCGGGGTTGTAAACGGGTGGTGAAGTTGGGGCTGGGAACAAAAGTTCTGGCTGTACCACAAGGAGGTAGCGATGGATGATCAGAGGGCGAAGGGGCGAGGTATGTCGGGATATAAGTATTCTGCAGACAGGAATCAAGAGGAATCCTATAACTTGGATGGCAATTGCACGTTGAGAGAAATCATTTTGCCTTTGGTCAGATTGGAGAGGGTGAGTCTCCTGCGCAGTGGCCAGTGAGGCGGTGGCTCTAAGTTGGTGGGGAATCTGGCATGCGATCCTCTGAAACTGTCAAACCTGAAGTCATCGCCGTCACCACCACCCTTCAACCTACGTTCACACCGGCCCCTGTGGCCCATTCTCCCTCTGATCCTACAATCATCACTCAAATCTTTTCTCCGTGTCCACCAGGTCTGCTGACAATTGGCAATTCAACTCAGGCACCACCTTGAAGGAACCATCAATCGTCTTCCTACCCGCGACCGACCCATTGAAGAACATCACGATTGAGCCCGTTTCGTTTCCTCTAATACTCATCGCTCGTTGCCTAGATCGGGACCATATCGACTCCACAAGAACAGGGACATTGCCAGCTGTTGGCCTGGTGGAATTTTCCTGCACGAGACTGGGTCTAGCCTTCCGACCAAAGATTGCCACACAAATCCTTCTGATGCCCAGCGACCCGAAGCAACAAGTAAGCACTTTCTACGACCAAGGTCCACATTATTCTCCCGCTTGTTCCTGTCAGGCTTCAACCACCTTCCTTCAACCAGAACTGATCTTCCTGGCCGCCGCCGGTGTCTGCCATCTGGTTCCATTGAGGCATATGCTTACATACTGCATCTGTACCGAATCAACGCCTTCCGAAGTCTGGACTCTCTCCTCGGTTACCACAGTGCTCAAACTATTGTCACCGTAGGAGTTGGGCCATGAAGGCAGGGGCGGCAAGCGGCGTGCAACTGATCGACCAGCGACCTGTCTAACCCACCCGGGTTACCTCTGTGTTTTCCAAATGTCGTGCTTGGAGGAGGATCGCGGTCGGATGCGCTGAATTGTCTGATTCTGATATTATTGGTTTGGCTGAAGCCTTCCCCCCGATCATATTGTATTGGTCTGGCCTGGGCTGTGTGGTACCAACTCCTACGGGAATACAGAGCGCTGCAATATCATCATCCCTCCAATTCTAGGAAAATGGATGACCTCCGGCGCACCAACTCCAATGACACTCACTCAGCATCACCTAGCGCGACCCTTCGCTCGTCTCTTGCTACGACAACCGGCTCCGGCAAAATCTCCCTACCATACACAACCGACCCGCCCTCTCCAGCGAACCCGCCACAACAGAAGGTATGGCTCATATTCGGCGCAACAGGACATATGGGCCGCTCTGTGACCAAAGCCGCCCTTGGCCACAACGACATTGTCGCTGCCGTGGGCCAGTCCTTCGTAGATGACCTAATGAGTGTAAGGAAATGGCATGATATCCCCGAACGGTACCTTGGACTGTTGTGTGACGTACGCATACGCTCTAGTGTGGCCTCGGTCATCGACCAAACGATGAAAAAGTTCGGCAGAGTGGACATCATCGCCAACTGTTCGGGGTACGGCGTGATTGGTGCCTGTGAGGACCAGGACGAACATGAAATTCGGAACCAATTCGAAACGAATTTTATGGGCACCTTGAACATCATCCAACTGTCTTTGCCCTATTTTCGCAGACGGCAGGACGGAAGATATTTGATATTCAGCTCCACGAGTGGCGCGCTCGGCGTTCCTGGCCTCGGTCCATACTGTGCTACGAAGTATGCTGTGGAAGGACTAGTTGAAAGCATGCTATATGAGGTCGATCCGTTCAACATCAAACTCACTCTCGTTGAACCGAGCCACTTGCGTCGCGACGACATCGATATCTTTCCCCCTCCACAACAAGATCCTCCCAGGGCAATAACAACGACAACCGACGGGGGAGGGCAGCAGCAGCAGCAGCAGCAGCAACAACAGCAACAAAACCAAACGCAAAACAAACTCGCCCTCTTCGGCCATTTCAAAGTGGCGCGCCCTTCTTCGCCGTACGCCACGAAAGACGCGCCTGCCGCCCACGCCCAGCGGACCCTGCAATGGATGGGCGCCAACCAGCCGACCTCAGTGGTCAAGGCCGCTGAACTGGTCTGGCAGCTCGGCCACTGCCGGTATCCGCCGCTGCGCCTCCTGCTGGGAACTTTCGCGATAGAGAGCATCCGCGACCGGCTGAAGAGCGTCATCGAGGAGATCGAGGACTGGAAGCATCTGAGTTTCCCCCCACTCGAGGGCTTTGAGGAGAAAGAGGACGGCGACGAGAAAGACGAAGGAGAGGGAGAAGGAGATGGCGATGGCGATGGAGATGGTGACGGCGACTGTGAAGAGCGTGACGAACGTGACGAACGTGACGAACGTGACGAACACGACGGACATGATGATCATGGCAGAGCTGAAGGAGATATCGAACGAATGCGCGACGACGATCATCCTGAAAGGGTCAAAAAGAGGTCTAGTCGGAACGACGATCCGGCTGTAGAGAACCTGGAGGGGCAAGGAGGACGAAGAAAAGCAGACGAAGAAGGGGCACGGGCAGGAGGAGGACGGGTTCAGATAAAGTTGGAGAGTGAGATGGACACTGACGATTGAGAAGAGCCGGCACCAAGACGGAAAAAGAGAAGACGGATAAGACCAAGGCCAAAATCGACGGCATCCCTCTGGTCCTTTTTTTCGTCCTCTCGATTGTCAAATCTTTCCAGCTTCGAGTTCAAGGTGTTTTTCTTCAATTCGACACTACCTGAAAACTACAGGTCAGCTCAAAGCTTTCCGCCAACGAGGCACAAGTCACATGATATCCTCTAGGCCACTCTCCTGTCAACTCTCAGCCATCGTCTCAAGGCCAGTTGTATCTCAATCATCGCCTTGCACAAACAACTCGCTGCCTGGCAGTATACGGCACCAGCATACTGATCGCTCACGGGCCCTGCGGGTTGAAGCGATACCTCGACACATATCACCAGGAGTGGATGGATAGATACGGACCCTTTCTCTGCCCTCTGTGCCCAGTTTGCAACCGATGGTGAGCCGCCACTAAGCCTGCTCGGCTCCACTACAGGGTTTCCAACAGTCATTCCGAGTGCTCATTTAGCCCTTTGGCTAAACACACGCATCCGACGTCGGCCAACCGCTTGAGAAGTTCGCTGTCGTGAATTGCAATATTCGTATGCTTACAGGATGGGCCTGCTCGGTGAAGCCCAAGCAGATAACCCACAAACTCTAGCCTCAGTCTTTGTCGAATGAGGTCGGACGCGGGAGGGTCGCAAGCTCAAAGCCGTCGATGGGCTTGAATCGGGATATCGATATGATACAATGTCTTTGAAAAAGAATATTCCTCACCCTCAGCACTTGATCAATGCATCAGAGGGTGATACGCATATGATCATTCGCGCCAAACGCCTTCCCACAATTCGGGCACTTCCTCGCCCTCGATGTCAGCCGCTCAGCCACACACTCATTGCAGAACGTATGCCCGCATGTCTTGATCACGGTATTCTTCAGATTCCGCTTGCAGATATTACAGTAGGCAAACTGCCTCAATATCTCATATTGTTCGGACTGTCCCGACTTGGATTTCCATGTCTCGAGATTTCTGCGTGTGTCTTTGAGCGAGGACCTAAGCTCTTCCACTTCGACTTCGGCTGCACGGCAGGCGCTAGAAGCGGAGGCGAGTTTGACGTCTTTGGCGGTTGCCTGGGTCTTCAGCTCCGTTATTTGGGCGTTTAATCTGGATATTTCAAGTCCTTGCGTGATGTTTTGTTGTTGGACGGTTCGGTGTTCGTTGATCTTGTGTGCTAGGGCATCTTTAAGTTCGGATAGCTGCTTGTCCGCTGTCGCCAACAAGGCTCGCGTAGAGGCTTCGGCTTCTTTCAACGAGGCAATTGCCTCTGCGGATTTGGCGTTTTGTAGCCGCAACGTTCTAATTTCACCGGCCTGGGTTTCCTTACTTTTCATCGCGGCGAAGAATTTTTGATCGGCTTTGGTCTTGTCCATTGACAGCTTTAGCACTTTCTCTTCCATGGAGGCAAACTCGGAAACTTTTTGACTGGCGATCTTTGAGGTCTTTTGGAATGCTGTCGACATGGACGCGAGTTCCCCATTCAGGAGATTATACTTCTTTTCGAGTTCAAGGTATCTGGCCCGCAGATCTTCCAGACCCAAAGCATCCAACTCCGCGTTGTCCATCACCATCTCGCCTGACTGAAGTGTGAGCCGCTCGTTTTCGGATTCAAGCGCCCGGATACGGTCCTCTTGTGCCGAAGCCAATTCCGTTATCTTTTTCACGGCGTCTTGGTTCTGATCCAGAGAAGCTTGCTTAACAGCCTGATCTGCCAATAATTCATCTCTGCTGTGTCGAATCCTTGCCAGATTGGCCTCTGCTGCCGCCAACAGAGACTCCTTCTCTGCTATAGCCACTCGTTCTTCGTTTTCCAGCTGAAGTTGGTATGTCGTCCTTTCGGACCGCAATTTCGAGGCTTCTTCCTTGAGTTCGGTATTGGCGGCTTCCAGATTATTAAATTTCTTGATCATATCCTCGAGCTGCGATTTCAATTGCTTGAATAACTCGGTTTTTGCAAAGTCGTCGTCCGTCAAAGTTGCCGATTTTGTTTGAACCTCCGTTAACTGTGCGGTCAACTTGGCATTTTCCTCCTCCAACCTGTCCAATTGCTCTTTTTGCTTTTCCAGGGCCGCAACCGTCTTGTTCAATTCCTTTTCTAATTCGGCTAGCTCTTCTGAATTGTCCGTTGCACCATTGAGCGTGCTCTCTTCTCTCTTGACCGGGCCGCTCTCCTCCGCTGAGGGCTTGGTTGCACCTAGTAAAGCCTGTTTTTCGAGTTTGGCGACCGTTACACTCTTCGCCCTGTCAATCTTGCGTTCGGCCGTCATATATCTGAGCGAGGCATTTTCTAGCTGGTGATCCAGATCATCTTTCTCCATCTGCAATCGCTGTAGTTCGACCCTTTGACTCTTTTCTCTCGCCGTCAACTTATTGATTTGTGATTGCAATGTCGCTACATCAGGCGATGACGACTTTTGGAGAGCGGCCAATTTTGAAATTACAACTTTGATCTGTTCCTTGCGGCTGCGTAGATGTTCTTCGAATTGTTCCAGATCCGAGAAAAGCAGCGCAGACGACGAGGACTCAGCGTCCATGTCCACGTCGTTATCACCTTCGCCGCCGACTTTGAGTTCGTCGATGACTTGTTGGAACCATGAATCAATCGTTAGGACATGCTCATCGTGATATCGGGCCTTCTTCCGCATCTCTTTCAATTGAGCCTCTAGAGAGTTTTTCTCCCGCTTATATTCCTGCATCTGTCGGAATATCGCATCTTTCTGGAACCTCTGTCCACACAAACGCGGTGTTAGCTTGAGTTCGGAAACACAGGGCGCGAGATAAAGGCTAGGCTTACCTCTAGATCATCTTTCCAAGGCATGTCATCGTCCTTGTGAGATTTGGATGCGCCATTTGCAGAAGTGGCCTGCTTCTTCAGCGGAGGAGCGGATTCGACGGAATCGTAAGGCGAAGGTCTTTTACGCTCTTCCATCTTGACTAGGCTCTGTTGGGAGAGGGAAAGGGGGAGAGATTCGACGGCCGTCATCAGTCCTGCTGCACTAAGGGGCTCTGCTTCTCGGCAGTGAATATCCTTGAAGGAGGCCCGCGTTGGCAGCAAAAGTGAGTGACGCCGCGAGAGGAGGTCGTGGATGAAGTCTCTGGTAGATAAGTTTGTTGACGGAAAGAAAGCGCAGAGGCGAGGACGAAAAGAAGAACGAAGATGTCGAGCCGCTGCGGACACGGCAGACGAATACGGTTAGCGGTGGTCGTGTCTTGGCGCTATAACCAGAGCCTTAAAACCTGCTCGCCACCTCACTTTGGGGATCACCCCCATCGTGCCGCTTTTACACCGCTTGCCCGCGACTCACCCTCCTCCACCTTCTACCTTGACGTCTCTCTTACCTGGACGGTTCTATATCTCACGCCATGAGGAAGTCCAGGCGGGTGTTCATCAATGAGGACGATGAGCCTTTTGTCCTCGACCGTAAGGGACGAATTGAGCCTCCTCAAACCTCGCCTTTCGCGAAAGAGCTTGATATATGTCTTGTCTTCCTGGACGAGGCTCGCACGAGAGGTACGGACTTAAAGCTGCCAGATTATTACAAGGCAGTAGGTGACTCCAGGAGGGTGCAGAGCGCTTCTTGCGCGTCATTACCTTCTGCTGCTTCTTCTGTCAGTCGCTGGCCCTCTGACCTTCCCGGACAGTTCGCTAGGTCCTCCGCTCGGACATAGATGTGGGATGAGTTTCCCATCGCAATGAACGACAAAGGATGCCTCGTCAAGATCGCAGTCGAAATGCGCCACGTTCCAGCTTGGGACAATTTCCATGAAATCATCGAGGTAAATTATTTCCGGAGTCTGTTTTATTTGGAGGCCTCTCCTTTCAAGGTTGAAGACAAGTTCATCATTCCTGGGGGCTAAGCCTGAATATCTTCCAGAAATATACCCCAGCCTCACTTTTGAAACCAAGTCAATGTACACGCGCGGCACCAATTACTAGGACAAAGGCTTTAGATGCCTCCCGCAGCTCCACGCCCGCGTTCTGCTTCCACAGAGGTAGGACGGCATTCAGGGCTGGATGGACATTCTCGTGCGCTTCATTTCTATGTCGAGCAAATGTGTGGGTGCGGGACGATGTGATGCTGCTACACCCAGACGCACTGCGATGGCCTAACATGCCATCGGCTGCGACATCGATTAGCAACGAAACGCTGAGAGGGGGTTCGTAGAATGGGTCTTGGATCGAGTCACTGAGAGCCCACTGTCTACCTCGGTTGCCTAGAAGTTGAGACCCGCTAGCATAATGACAAGGACCGTGACCGTGCACAAGCCGTGCCCAAACGACAGGTGCATGGTGCTAAGGACCCTTGATTTAAGCGTCTCCTAAGTTGAAATCCTCACACGAATTTTGCTCCTCCATCCGCAATTTAACAACATCTCTCACTCCTACTCTGAAAGGATAGAGGGCTGGAGGCATTTGGGAATGTGCAGCTCTTCAATCCCTTCCCAGCTACGTTATGCGCTTCACTAGTCAAGTTAGGCATTTCACCTTTTCCTTGGTGTTAGTATTATCAGAGCCAAATAAACTCAAATACCTGTAGGCTAAGATCCGACGTTTATCGCTGTCTCCATCAGTTCACTAGGTGTTTGAAACGAACGATGCCCAGCGCTTGGCGGGTGTTGTCTGGACTATGGTTAACAAGGAAACGTCCTCGCTGCCACATATTCGCTTTTATCTTCAGAGCAAATGAAGTGGACATGAGCATTATGACCATGGCTGATGCCCAAGAGCCACTAGAACAAACAGAAGTTGAGGACCTCAGGAAAATGCTGCTCAGGCGACGAGACAGCCCCCCACCTAACGATTCTGAGCTTGAATTATTTAAATATGATGCTGAGCGGCATGGCTTTGTGGATGCGTTGAATTTGCCCGACTTTTCGCACATAAAGGAGGAAGAGGCATGTTGCGACGACACCGATCAGGAACAGGAGCATGAGGAGGAGAGCAACAACTGCCTTTCGATTCGCTAACAGCGACGATTTTAGACGAGTAGAAAATAGTGCTGCTCGAGTTGAAACTCGTCGTGGAAGAAGGACCTGACTGAACGAGGTATTCGCGCCACCGAATCCATTCTCCGGTAGGGTGGTTACGAGGGACGCGTTTTGACGTAGCAGAATCCCGTTCTCAAGGGAGGATTGGGATATTTGTGGGGAGGCTCTACAGCGCGCAATACGCCAGAAGGAGTATCGACGTTGTAAGTCCTACTACGCGTTTATCTTCCGCCTCAATTAACGAGTTCTTGAGTTGCCTGCGCTAGAGAAATACTTCGACTACGTCCACAACCTTAAGACCGGCACAGCGTATGCTTTTCTGATGAATGTGCTTTGGGTCTGGTCCTCAAGGCCGGGTTTATTATACAAAGCGTCCGTGTGAGAGAATTTGCCCTAGCTGCGTTCACAAACCAGACAAGTCCCTCGCTATATAGAGAGAAACTGTCGGTTTGAAATCCTCAGTGGTCGCTGGAAATGCAGTCCACGCCAGAACAAACCGAATACCGATGGAAAGAAATGGTTTTTCGACAATTGCGCACATGTTGCCTGCTTTCGTTGCTTGGCCTGTTACGACTCGCCCTGTGCTGGCTAAAGCCGACCGTAATCACTTTCAGAAATTGGGATGGTTCATTTCAGGTAAAAACAACAGCACGGAGGAAATTCAGTGAGATTGTGGGACGACGCAACGGGAAGGCTACCGCGGAGGGTCGACGGACCCGAAACCGTGTTAAACAGTGGTCACATTGATCTGGTCAAGCTCCTGGTTGAAGAAGGGGGAGAAGTGAAAGCACAGATTGAGCGTGGAGAGTCTGGCCGGCAAATTGTCGCTGTTTCGGTCACGGTTTTGGTCCAGCGCTTAAGACTTTGTCACTGGCATGCTCGGTTGATCGTCCCAGGGTCAGACGGGCCGGGTTGCAACCAACAGCAGGCAGTTGCTAAAGTGGTCCAGGCATCCAAAATGACACGGCAGGCAAAATGCCCCATATTATAATGTTCAATGCGCTTCAGCACCGATCGGGCGTCAGGGCGGACCAAAACTTCGTGGGCAAAGATGGTGCCAGTTGAGATTCGGATGGCAGACATCTGCGTCACACCAGGACGTGCTCTTTCTCCGAGCATGGGAAGAATCGACACCATCACCAAATGAGTTTTCGCCGTGCGATCTCGTCGACGTATCGACTGTCGTTCGCAGGCACGGACATGGGTGTGGGCGAGCGCTTCGCTCTAAAAGGAGTCCAGCAACATTGGATCGGTTCCCATGTGACAAAGATCGATTCTCACTTCATCAAACTAGCCGCCAGATCAGCAGCGCACATGCAACCACAGAGGCCAAGTGATACCATGACTATTTGATCAGGACGAAATCGTCGTGGATGGCGTTGACATGGACGGTTCAAGAATGGCTTTCGTCACACAGGCCAAATGTCTCCATAAGCAGGAAAGGAATGTTGAAATTTGAGATAGAGAGATATCTCTAAGGATAAACAAATGCTATCAACCACCTGGATAATCCGTAGTGTGACAGTTGCTCCCGAATCAAGCGAATATAAATCACTTTGCTCCTAATTTATAAGATCGGGTGTCAATTTCCGGCGGAGATGCGTCGCCTTATTCCACAAGCACTGTTCGAAGGCACCGAAGTCCTGTCTCCAGTAAAGTCCAGCCCAAAAGAACACCTGTAAATTTGGGAGAGTCGACAAGTCGAACCCATTGAAACCTTCCACTAGGTCTTTGCAGGAGGAATTCGTAAAAAGGGCGAGAGGGACTCTAACAACCTCTGGTGCTCAGCGACGTACCATGTCATCCTAACTATGTTTAGGGAAATGTATGTAGCCCGACTTCAGCTGTTGTGAATAAGGACCCGGGCGACGAGATGAAGAGTGAGATCAGAGTTTCCCATACTTGAGGGGTCTTGATGTATTCTCTTAGAACAACCCGCGAGGCAGGCCTGCCCCATCACAATCACCTTATCGATAAACTTTATATAAGAATCCTCATTCTCTGTCATTACGTCTGTACTCAGAGGTTGACCATGATGGCAGCAGTACTCAATCACATCACATAATTTTCGATTCATTGTAAGTTCTTTGACAAGTGAGAGACTAAACCTGCGTTCGAGTTCGCCTTGCTTCCATGAAAACATTCTTCAGCCAAGGTTCTTGGGTTGAGTCCCTGTTCGCAACGAATGACAACACTCTCGTACAGCAATAGGGTTGATTCCACGTATAGTTGTCTAGATACCTCACAGAAGAGACTGGAAATTCTTCCTAGAGACCTAGGATGGATGAGCTTAGCTAATTGGAACTAAAACCGCAAAGCGTACTTTTCGTGTGATGGATGCGAAGATCCCCGAGGGCAATCTAGTTAGCCTAATTCAGTGCTTAGTATTTATGAATTTTAGAATTCAAGGTCTAAAATGATGGCTGCAGAAAATAATAGGACCAGAAGGACATGTTTTGGAACATAGATCGCAGGAAGACGGGAGGTACAGGTGTTGTGCAGACTTGAGATGTCGGTTCCAATTAATCGTTCTATCATAAAAAGTAATTCTAAGTCTGGACGCAAACGCCCAGGTAGGAGCTTCTTTGCGAACTAAAAAGGTAAAATGCTGTAGAAAGACTATTCTGGGTGGGCAGAGGAGCTAAGGCAGCAAATCGTCTACAGTGCCGTAAGTCGAATTGGAATGAAAGCAGCATTATCAAGGTCGTGGAAGGGAACGATCTCGCGCCACTCAAAGCCCCTTTAGTCCACAATTTCACCGTCGATGTCGAATTCGAAGGATCGCTTCTCTCTCTATCCCTTGGGCCGACCCCATCCGTAACCGTTCCTTTCGTGGTCGCTCTCTTCTATGTCGGCCCTGTCGTCGTCGCTAGATGGATCAGGTGCGTGAGGCTTTGTAGCTGTCGCTGTATGTGTAGGTGAAGGTAATGGATTGCTTGTTTGCTCCCAGCTAGTTTCCACGGGGCTGCTGGCAGAAGGATTTGTGGCGGTGAGCGTCACAGTGTTGAACGAGAGGTTGAGTTGTGGACCTATCTGGTTGATTGTGTCCTGTTCCCCCTGGCTACTCAGAGAGACTCTGCCTGTTTATATATACATTGGCCCGTAACCACAAGAGCATTCTTGAAACCTCCTACTCCGTCGCCATCCTGTTACAGAACTGCAGTAACAACGAGGTTGAGGCAGTTTGCGCAGATGGTGAAGCGCCTAGCGTCTCAGATGGTTTGCCCCAGTGGTGCTCTCGCGACCCTGTCAACAGAGGACTAGGACGCTGAGCAGCGACCTGGACAGGCCGAAGTGACGAGGCTGAGCCGAAGATGAGCCAGGTCACCTGAACCCTAAGTAAAGCGGCAAGACCATGCCGCTAAAACCGGTGCCAAGACATGAGTGTTGATTCGCCACCGGTCACCAGGGCTGGCTGGTCCATTCATATGTCATTGATATATCACCTCGGCCTTCATTCTTGAAATGTCCAGACTGCCTTTTGCCTACACTGCTTTTATGGGAAGTAGTAGTCGGAGGTTGAAGAGTGTTGCTGGACTAAACAGAGATAAAGATGTGTGGCCACGAATGAGACCTGTGTATATCCGATAGCAGACGAAGTGCGTTGCGTTTATCATGTCGACATTCAGTTCAGTCGTTCGAAAGCCAGGGCAGAAGATAGTCCCCAAGGGCCCAAGGAGGAATGTCCAAAGAAATGCTCTTCGACATGCTGCTCCACCGTCGTTGACGCCAGAGAGTCAAACTGTGAGTCCTGCTGTTGAACCCGCTGACGAGCCAGTTCAGAGCCAGGAACCAGAGTCGCAGTTAGAAACAGTGCAGATAGTCCAGGTGTCCAACGAAATACATTCTATTGCTCCTTCAATAGAGACAGCAGGAGAAGCCCTCGACACCCCCCACCCAAACGAAGAAGCAGCGACCGAGAGAGCCCTTTCAACCTCCGTGGAAATTATTTTCCCGAGTCGCACAGGTCGCGCGATTGAAATCATTCACCCGGCTGGCGCAAGCGAGAGTCGCCCCGAACAAGGTGCCATCCCCGCGATTTCGGTTTCGACTCCCTCTATTCTCCAGAAACGAAATGCTACCTATGACCCGACCCCAGAGGAATCAGAAGACTCGACACAAGAAAGGGAAAATCCAGATGCTTCGAGGAAGCGGCAGAAGACTTCTCACACGGTTGAGGACCTTACTGAGTCAGAACCACATACTCCTCCGCAACCTGATTCCATACCCTCAATACTAAGGACCGGCCCACGGGCTAGGCGGAGCGAATCGCGTACGTCGGACGCGTTATTACAAGATGCGACAACCCAAGCAGCGGCAGTATCAGAACTTGCAAACTCCATTGAGAACAGAGCAAGATCACTCCAACCGAGCTCAGCGCGTCGATCAGCGTCACAGACAACAGAATCAGGAGAGGCTGTGGCCGAAGATACTGCGCAACCAAAAGCGCAACGGAAAAAGAGAAAGTCCAAATCGAGAAGAATACAAGAGCCAGCTCAACAAGTCGTTGAAGATGCTGTTAACGGGAGCACAGATGAACCAAATCGTCGTCGTTCTCGCCTTGCTACTCCTGAGAATGCCGAAGAGCTAGAAATCGACCCACAGGAGGTGTCGATGGCCGAGCTCGTCAAGGATAACAAGATTGGCAGAAAGTCAGAAACAGAGAAACGAATGCAAGAGAATTGGCCGGATATCCAAAAGCGACGCAAAGAGGAAATTGAGAAGCGACGCGAAGCTGCCCGTGGGAAGAATAGGACTAACGAGGAAGAACACCACGAAGCGGAGGAAGCGGCCGTACCCACCCAGATCATTGTTGACGGACAAATTGTGGTGGCAAACGAGTCTCGCACGGTCACATTCGGTGCAGGCCTCGAAGAGGCTGTTAATCAAGACGCGAGCGAAGCGCGTGAGGATGACCGGATCTACAAATATGTCACTTCGGGCTCACTAGGAAAAAATGCGGGTCGAGGACGCCCGATCCGTTGGGACGAAGACCAGACGAACCTCTTCTACAAGGGCCTGCGGATGTTTGGCACAGATTTCAGCATGGTCGCGAATCTTTTTCCAGAAAGCATTGATCGGGGCGTGATTAAAAAGAAATATTTGGTCGAGCTACGAGTGGATCCGGAGAGGGTAGAAAAATGTGTGGCAGCTAAAGAAACTGTGAGTTTAGAAGACTACGCGGCAATGGCGAATCAGGAGTTTGAGGATCCAGAAACGGTCATGAAGGAGTTGGAAGAAGAAGAGCGAAGATTGAGGGAGGAGGATGCGAAGAGAAGAGCAGACCAGGGATTTGTTGATCATCTTGCAGGGGCGGATGTACCCTTGCCAACTACGGAACGCGATGAACCATATATCGATGAGAGCGAAACTGCAAGTCAAGGCGAGCCGGCCACCACAGACAAACATTCTGCTCCGCCAGAATCGGTAGGACAGAGAACTCAAGCACCAAGTATAGGTCGAAGAGAACGTATCCCAGTTTTGGCGCAGAAGGTTATCCACACGGCAATGAACCCCACGAAGAAACAGCAACGTCAGACGAAGGGCACTGCTGGAGCTGGCCATGGCGGAAGACACGCAAAGAAGGGGAGGAGGGCGGTCGAAGGCGTCGAGGAGAGAATTGGGCCGATTTACGAGGTTGATCGGTGATTGCTAGTATGGCGGCTTCGATCATCTCTGTCATTCTAGTTGTGGACTTCGGTTGCGACTTGCATCATGCTGTTGGTAACCTTTTGTAAGACCTTTGCATTGCATAAAAGCAACTGGGGCAGCAGATGCCGTTTGTTTCGGCAAATACAATGCCCTTTTTCGTTTCTCAGTTTGACGCTCTTTGTTGTGAGAAGTTACCGACCCGTCTTGGTGTGGAGGGCTTGAGATTGCCGGCTCTTGCGAGCACCTGGTTCTCCCAACATTGTCATATCTCGCACCCATCTTGCACGAAAAGAGATTCCATTTCACATCTCCAATAGCTGAACGGGATTTCTTTCCTTCCGTCTCAACTGGCCTTCTTCCTATTAGCGACAAGATTTTGTGTTGTTCTCCAACACACACTGCCATCTTCTTGACTCCCAACTCCCGTCCAACAGTGATGTTGGTTTTCTCAGTACCAGGCCCATCTCCATACACAGTAATCCACACACTCAGCAGGCGTGATATTCGTGGTCCGTCCGATGAGTTCGCAACTACATCTGGACGGAGGCTCAGCATTGCTGGTCGTGTCATAGGTGGCTGTCGGCTGGGAAACGGTGATGTCTGTGTTTGGCTGTTGATAGCCTCTTACCGCGAGGGTGGGCGCAGTGAACAAGGAGACAAGGACCATGGCTGCTATGAGGAGGGTAGTGGTCGCGGCACCACCGTTCAGCTCCATTTCCCGCCCGACGTCGCCCCTCAAGGTGTGCGGCGGTCGTAGGTGGTGTCGTGGATTTGCTTGGACGAACTGCGAGTGGAGATCACTCGATGTTGTGAAAATGGTAGTGCCCTTCGTCGTTGATGCCAAACGGGGTATCTGATGTTGTCATGCTGTAACCAGGAAAATAGCATCCACTTCACTGGCAAACACAGGCGACGCGTCGCTGCCGCACCACACTCGGACGCAAAGCCCGTCACGCCGATAAAAGAACCTCGAGTCCGAAATGCAGTCCTTGACCTGGCCGCCATTCACGAGTTGAAAATCCTACTATAAAGCAACTCATGTCTCCCCATCCACAGATCCATGCTTGGGACTACCTGGCCCGCCTCTTCCGGTCTCATCAACCAAACTTTCTCCAGACAACCACTCAGCAGCTCTTGCAGTTCTTTGGATGCGAGTACGTTCTGTGCCATATAAGGCCCCATCACGGACGCCCGAACCCCTGCGCTGATAACCGCTTTGGAGTGGTTGAGGAGGAAGAGGTAACCGGATTCTTCTAAGTTGAGACCGAGGGAGAGACAGATGGCGCCCCAGAGAGGAGCAAGGTGTCCGTTGACAACGGGGATTTGGTGCATGTTGTTGTTGGAAAGGGCGGCGGGGGACAGAGCTGAGAGCTTTAAGTCTCGAACAAAGACTTCAAGCGCGGTGGCCGCTTCAAGTCCTTCCCCTTCCTCCCCACGCTGCACTTTCACCGCCGGAGCAAAAGCTTTCTCCCAAACACTCAGCAGTGCACGACCTTGAGCGATGCTTGCTCTCCTCGCAACGTTGCACGGCGTGCTCGCGTCGAGGTCATTATCGAGATCCACGAGCGCCAGTGGATCACGGAATGCCGCAACAACGTAAGGGACGCTGGTATATGCCATTGACTGGATGGAGAGTTTGAGGAACTTGTGGAAAAGGGAGAGATTTGTCTGTCCCGGCGTTGGAGGAAGATGTTTATGATGAGCGAGGAATGATTCTAGGCCGCTCGAATAGGCGAACGATCCAAGCGGAAGGGCTGAGTCGGAGAGGAGCATGAGATTGTGCGTCGAGTGGCCTATTGGAAGGGTGACGGGCAGAGAGAGTGGTACGCTTCCTCCATTCTCGCGGAGAACATCGGCGGTTGATGTTGAGCCCGGTGTTTCTATGCCTCGAAGGAGTGCTTTGGTGACTTGCAGCTGGACCTCGAGCTCGAGGACACGGGCGCGGAGAGCGTCCGCATCGTCCACTTTCATAGGTTCATCAATCTGCAAATATCTGATTCTCACCTTTGCTCCTTGACCCCGGTACAATCACCGACAATGCATATGCGATCCGGGAGGTCGTTGAAGTGTGAAGTGTGAAGTGTGAGGTGTGGGGAACTGCTTGTTGGATTCGACGATCCACATGCAAAAAGTTCCGACATGACTCCAACCAACTGCGCTTCAAATACCGAACAAGCTGCTTCTATTGCTGCTGCATGTCTTAACAGCCGTAAAAAAGGGTCTTGGGCCCTCCCTTGACTTACAATCATGCCTGGCAGACATATACTTGATGCTCTTGCTTTACTGAGTGTATCGCGAAATGTTGCGGCGAAACATTTGGATATTCGACTTGCTCAAGCTAGAGTCTATGGTCAATCTTCCTCCGTCGTCAAGGCCATACGGACTCAGGGTCTACCCATCTTAGCTACGTCTGTCTCACGGTTCGCTTCCTCTTCCCAGCCGCTTTCAAAGGCGCCGAAAGAAGGCATCGAACAGGACCACTTCTACGTCAGATCAGCCGAAGGATCCCAATCTCAAGCCTCTGCGGGTAAAGGGCTGAACGTTGAACAAGTTGAGGCGAGGAGGACGCCGCTGCCAGACGGGACAATACCGCCAAATAACAGCCTTATTGGAGGAGAGGAAGGAGACGGCATAACTTTCAATCAGGTTCCTGCGGGAGAGACACCCCAGCATCCATTACAGACTGAAGCTGCACAAGATCTCAAGTTGAACTCATCTACAGAGCCAAATCTCCCAGGCACTGGATCATTCGAGGCTCTGTCTCCGGATGCGGCCAGAAAAGCGCAGAGACAATCCGAGGACCAGATCCCTGCGACATCGGCCGAACCTCCGCCACGAGAAGACACCGCTCAGGAATTTGGGGTGGAACAAGAGCAGGATGTCTTCTACCAGCCACCAGACAGCGTCAAGCCGGTACTGTCCGCATTACCACGTATCCGTGTTCCTAAAACCGAAAACGACGTTCAAGAGGGGGATTCGCATATTGAACCTGGTCTTAATTCGGATGTCTATTACTCTGGCTCCAAACGCCAGGCAGAAGCAGAGGATGAGCCTTCGGAAGAACAACTGGCTCGACTATTTCGCAATCCAAGGAATGCGAGGACTTACGGGCAGAAGGCAAGATATGCCCCTGGCGGAGTGACGGCGAGACGCTTCCATACCATGAGCGCCATGCGACAGAAAACATCCGGTGCAGATGCAGAAAGCGTCAAGCAACTCGGGGCTGAGCTTGCCAAGGACGTCCAAAAGAGCAATGTAATTGAACCCCGTCTATGATTGACTGATCCTGACTGATTAACTGACAGATAACCTAGATGCAACGACCTCAGATTGCACAGCCGTACCAGATGCGTGAATCAAAGGTGCCGTCATCAAGGATGGGCCGGATCTTCGAATTTGGAGGGCTCGCAGCGTCTATGGCTTTTGGAGCTGTCAGTGAGAGTATCAGTCGATCAGGAGGATCCAATGGCTCGTTGATGCTGAATGCCGCAAACATGGAACGTCTTGTTGCCAAATTGTCCAAAATGCGAGGTGCCGCCCTCAAGTTAGGCCAAATGATGAGCTTCCAAGATTCCAAACTGCTTCCAAAGTCCATTCATGATGTGCTTCAACGCGTCCAGGATAGTGCGGACTACATGCCTGCTTCGCAGAGAGATGCAGTCATAGCCGCGGATTTGGGCCCCGATTGGCGTGAGAAGTTGTTCCAGCAATTTGACGAGAAGCCCATGGCTGCCGCCTCTATTGGCCAGGTTCACGGAGCCGTGTTCAAGGACGGAAGGAGAGTCGCTGTCAAGGTGCAATATCCCGGCGTGGCAGAGTCCATCTCTTCCGATCTCAACAACCTGGCTTTGCTGCTTACCGCCTCTCGCCTGTTGCCCAAAGGCTTGTACCTGGAGAAGACCATTGCCAATGCTCGTACTGAGTTGGCGTGGGAATGCGACTACGTCCGCGAGGCTGAATGTGCAAAAAGATTTCGGAAACTCCTCGCAGACGAGGAGAGCGTCTTCAAAGTCCCGGAGATCATTGACGAAGCGTCAGGCAAACGGGTCCTGACCATGGAGAGGATGGAAGGCGTTCCAGTCACCAAAGTCCAAAATTTCACACAAGAGCAAAAGGACTGGATTGGGACACAGATTCTACAACTCTGTCTGCGTGAGATCACCGAGTTCAAATACATGCAGACAGATCCCAACTGGACCAACTTCCTCTACAATTCGAAAACGAACAAGCTGGAGTTACTCGATTTTGGTGCATCGAGAGAATTTCCCGACAAATTCATTCAACTCTACATCAAGACCCTCGTCGCGGCCTCGAGAAAGGATAGAGACGCTTGCAGAGATTTTTCCATCCAGCTGGGCTATCTCACCGGTTACGAATCGAAGGCCATGCTGAATGCCCATATCGAATCAGTCATGACACTGGCCGAACCTTTCATGGATTTCAGCCCGGACATCTATGACTTCAAGGACCAAACCATCACTGACCGCGTTCGAGCTCTCATTCCCGTCATGCTGAGGGAAAGATTGGCACCTCCACCAGAAGAGACCTACAGTCTGCATCGGAAGTTGAGCGGGGCCTTTCTGCTATGTGCTCGACTGGGCAGTCGGGTCCGATGCAAGGAGTTGTTCGAGCAAGCGCTCAACAAAGCGGGCATGCAATAAGAACCGCTGAGGGTTCAAAACACCGAGTCATCGTCGTCCTCGTCGCTGTGTTCCAGAATCGTCTCCTGCAAAAGGCCTGGCCTACTCGGTGTCGTATTGCTTGGGCTCAAGGGGCGCAGCGAACCCGCAAGCGCGGCGACTGATAGTGGCGTCTTTCTGGCTTCCCGAGCCGCTTCTTGCAGGAGTGGTCGCGAAGCGATCAATCTGGCCTGGGCAGCAAGTCGTTGTTGTTCCTCCAGTTGTTTCTTTTTCTTTGTCTCTCTTGCCTTTCTATACGATATAGCGTCGTGCCCTTTGGCTGGAATTGGCTGCGGAGCGTTGCGATCAAGGCGAAATACAACAACGAAGGCGCGCATGGTGAAATGCAAGGCAAGCGCAAGTAGTAGTCCCAGCAGGACCGCGCTACTGAGAAAGTACCAGAGCGGCTGTGTAAAAGTTATCAGTTCATTAGGGGGATCAAAGCCAGGCAGAGCAGACGGACCTCGAAAGAGGCGAAGATGCGCCATGGAATCAGCGAGGCATTGGCGATGATGAGCCCCATGTATACAAAAGGCGCGGATAGAGACGCTAGAATGTACCATATTCCTCTCAATAGGAGCAAGATAGGATATAGTGCGTAGGACAGGGTGGTGACGATGGAGGAGAGGACGGCGCTGGTGACAGAAAGCCATAGCTGCAAATTCGAGTCGCTGGTGGTGTTCATTTCTGGACCAGTCGATGGATCATGATGAAGACTCGGCGCCTGGCGAATCCCCGTCGAGAGATGGTAGAGGCCGTGACCGGAAGCAGGTGCGGTGCAACAATTGAGCGAGCGGCAGCAGCTGGTGAAGTTTGTTGTTTACCGTGATGTCGAACTGCGGCTCAGATAAGTAGGAAGACAGCGAGTGCCACCAAGTGCCACCAAGTGCCACCTGTGCTAGCTAACTGATGACGCCTTGCTCCCCGCAACTGTTCCTGAAATTAGTTGGGGCTTTAACTAACAGACGCCCCAACGCCCTTCTAGCGGACACCCACCGGCACCCACCCATCATTCCGAGCCGAAACCAGCTCCCGCTAGCGCAGCCCAAACGCAGCCTTCACTTCACTTGCCCCTCTCGCCCTCCTTCTGTCTTCGTTCAAAGTTCACTCAACCTCGAAACCAAACGTCACCAGAGCGCGGAGGCATTTCCACAAATCCATCAGTTTGCTGACCCTCCTGGCCCCGGCCGGCTCTGGCTCTGGTCTATCTCTCCATTTTGGAATTTGACACATAACACCGAATGCTTATACACCTGGAGCCAACAAAATTCCGCTCCGACTTCCTATCTCCTTGACTTGGCCCTCCTTGACCAGCCTCCTTCCTCCCCATTCCCGCAAGGTGTCGCACGACACTTGAATTTGCCACAGTCAAAGCTGACCACGACATTCACCATGGGCCAGCAACAATCGGCTGAGGAAAAGAAGAGCTCGGGTTCCAGATCTGGTACGCCGCAAGCTGAAAGAGAACGCAAGATCAACCGGAGGGTTTCCATCCAAGCCCTCTCGCAGGGCCGAGGCACTCCCGTCGACGCTTCTGCTACAAAAGACACCGCTGTTGCCCAAACCACTTCCCAACATCTCGAAAAACCAGCCTTGCAGCAGTACCTGCAAGCTTCCTCATCCGACACTCATGCCAGAACCGCCAAGGTTGAGAGGTCCACCTCGAAGGCATCCCGAGAGAAGAGGAATGAGCTGGAATACAGACAGAAATACCAGGCTCCAAGCCAGCCACCTCTTGCTGTTCCGCAGGCTTCGGGACCCATGGATGTACCCATGTTGAGGGGCAAACAAGAGATCATCGAAGAACGCTTCGACGAGAAGCAGGAGAATTTCCCAGAGGGCCATGCATACGAAGACCGACGTTATGCACCCGTCGCTCAACTTCGCCCTCCCCGTCTCCCTCTTCCCATCGCCGATGTGCCGATACCGGAATCGCCAACATTGATGCCTGTTGACAAGGGGAATGCTGACGTCCCAATCTTCGAGACCGACGATCCTCTCTCGACTGGGGAACCGCCGTTGAAAAGGCGGAGTTCTATGTTGAGCACGACCACCCAGTCAGAGGACGAGCTTGGCGAAGAATTGCAGCCTTATGCAGTTCATCCGACGACTCAAACTGTTCCGACTGTTATTGAGTGGAATCAGGGTGGGCACAAGGTCTATGTAACGGGTACCTTTGCCAATTGGGAAAAGAAATACAGACTACATCCGAGGTAGGTGTCTCAATCGGGGTTGTTTTCGTTTCGATGTCCTATATTCTGGTCCTAGCCGATGTGGGATTCCCAACTCGGTCATCCAACCCCGTTATCGAGAAATCACTATTTGCCCAGGTTTATTTTGCTGTTTACTTTTTTTCGATGTTGTATTCTTGAAGTTAACAGTTTCATTTTAGGAAGAATGCACCCGGCATGTTTACCACCATCAATCTTCCCTCTGGGACCCACCATCTGAAGTTCGTGGTCGACGGAGAGATGGTCACCAGTGCTGAGCTGCCCACCGCAGTTGACTTCAACAATTTCTTAGTCAATTACATTGAGATTGCTACCGAAGACATCACCAAGCCGCGAAGAGAAAGCGCCCAACAGGGCGCCAAGTCCGCTACCCTTGTGCCGGAGGAACAACGTGAACAAGCTGAATCCGGAGAGGAGACACCTGAAGATTCGGACGTGGAAGAACCGCATCTTGAGGAAATTCCAACGGGTGACTGGCGTCAAGTTGTACCACCATATCTGATCGATGTCGACTTGCCTGAAGAAGACCCGAAATACAAGGCTGCGGGCCAGATCATCCAAGAACTAGGCAATCCGCCAGCGCTACCGCTCTTTTTGAGCAGGTCCATCTTGAACGGTATCTTGCCGGTCAAGGACGATAACAGCGTCTTGACTCTGCCAAACCATACCGTCTTGAATCACCTCATGACGAGTAGTGTGAAGAATGGCGTACTGGCGACGAGTGTGACGACGCGCTATAAGAAAAAGGTACGTATTGGGAGGCATAGCGCCCGCAGGACGCTAACAATGTGTAGTATGTGACCACGATCTCCTTTAAGCCGGTTCCAAAGGCGCAAACGGCTGAATGAAGGATCTGGCTGGGGTCTCTTCCCTTTATGACTCGGTGGATATGTGTTCGCGTTCATACAATTGCTGGGCGTTCATGACCTCATGACTATGGCATGGGATTTTCTTTTTACGAGACAGCCTCTCGAGGAGTTCATGCGATAGAGAGGAGAAATCCCGCCGCCTCTCTCGACTCAGAAGACATGTCAGATTCATCACCATATAGAATCGTTTGGGTTCATTCAAATTGAAGAAATGATTCAGTCGTACCTCCATGCGACATACACATCGTCAGTTCGAAACCGTTGTGTGCAGGTGCTATCCGCCAGCTCGGTTTTAAAACCGGTCTGATACGCGAGTAATCCCGCATGGGCAATCATAATCCCATTGTCAATACAAAATCTTTCGTCAGTCGCATACACATCTCCACCTCTACTCCTCGCCATCGTGCCCATCATTTCTTGAAGTCGCTCATTGCATCCAACCCCCCCAACGATGAGAACCTGGTTCGAGCCAACATGTGCCATGGCACGCTCGGTGATTTCAACGAGCATGGCGAAGACCGTCTCCTGGAGCGAGAAACAGAGATCTTCTGCCGTGACTGGTTTCCCGGTATTGGGATCTTTTAGTGTGCCACTCTTCATCTGGGCGGCTAATTCGTCGACACGAGCCAAGATACCGGAGAACGAACAGTCCATGCCCTTGACGGCGTAGGGCAAGTCGACCAGGACTTTGCCGGATTTGGCGAGTTGCTCGATGTTGTACCCTGGCGCCGGGTCGTTGGGGATGTTCAACGTGCGCGCAAAGCGGTCCAGACAGTTTCCCACGGCAATGTCGAGTGTTTCACCGAATATGCGGTACCGGTTCGACGTGTAGGCTATCACCTGGGTGTTTCCGCCGGACACGTACAGGACGACGGGGTTCGTGGCGCCCGTGATCGATCGGCCCATTTCGATGTGGCCGATACAGTGGTTCACTCCTACCAGGGGTTTGTTCCACAAGAGGGATATCGTACGCGCGGCCAATGCGACGGATTGCAAGGGCGCACCCATCCCGGGCCCTTTTGTGTAGCATATGCAGTCGATGTCTGACGGGGTGAGGTTTGCTTCGCGAAGAGCGCTGGAGACGAGCGACGCGACGAAGCTCCGATGGTGTAAAGCCGTGTCCTTTGGCAGAAACCCTGCGCCGGGAGGGGCGTGATATGTGTGTCGGATGTTAGACAGGATTTGAACCGGGTTGCTTTTGTCTTTGGAGTGCAGGATTATGCCCACGCCGAGTTTGTTGGCGGAGCCTTCGAGGCCGAGCGCGATCATGGTACTGAAATGAGAGCTGACTGATGTTGGATTTTGTTTCAACGAGGAAGTCCGATGGGTCCTTGTCGCTTTCCTAAACGAGGGTTTGCTCCCGAATGGTGTCCTTACAGCAAGATACCACTGAAATTGTCGCCACAGCTCGTGAACGGGGTGCACGCTGTTCCTGGTCTGTTTGCGGCTGCTTCGACCGCTTTCACACCTGCGCGGATAGGCGTCTGCCCTTCATTGACTTGAACCAGGCCGTATTCTTGTAGCCGTCGAAGGTGTCGAGCAGCACCCGAGTCTTTTCTCGCAGACGAGATCCAACGGGAGACCAGGGGGTCTAAATTGGAAAAGACCACTGCAAACTTTCTCCCTAACCGTAATGATCGAGTGTGCGATTTTATTAGGTGCAAAGGGGTCCCCCCTCTCAAGATGTTGGCTGTTGGTAGAGCCTTTAATGCCAGTGTCAGCGTGGACTAGCAGACATGAAAAACAAGCAGAATTTGGTAAAAACAGGCTTTGACGAGAATTTGACTATGTCGTAATAATACTTGTACAGGTTCAGCACAGAGAACCGAGTGAGTTAGGCTTTGATGATCTGGTGGTTTGGGAGGGGGAAATACTCTCAAGGCTTTGACTTCATAATTTGGAGGCAAGAATGGACCCGATTTGTGAAGACTTTATTACTGAGTACTCGCCACAAGAGGCTCATGATGCTGCCAGATGCGGCAGCCAATCGGAGACCCACACATTTATCCGTTCTTGGCTGCCAACGGCTAACGGGTCTGTCATTCTTCATCCCACCATGCTTCTGCTTCTCTGGCTTCTCTCTTCCCATCCAACGGCTACCCATTCCTCTACCCTTATACACCCCTTTCTTGTTCCTCGCTCCTTCAACTCTCTTTCAGCCATGGAAGACGCCATAGAACCAGCTGAACGTTTGGATTTCGATCAAGCGACCGCAAGGTTCGTCGAATGGTTCACGGCCGCTGATGGGACTCGGTTAAGCCCTAAAGTCCAGCTCAAGGATCTGAGAAGCGAGGGTGCGGGAAGAGGAGCTAGTTCGCTGTGTCCAATCCTTCTCTGAAGGCAGTCCGCTAATCTCTCCCTTCAGTTGCTGTCGAGGACGTCGAAGAAGATGAGGAGTTATTCGCTATTCCTCGATCCCTTGTGCTCACAGTCACAACTTCGAGCATTCCACCTGCCCTGCTCGAACCTCTCAGCGAAACTGGAGCGTGGCAACCGTTGATCGTCACTATCATCTATGAATACCTGCGAAAAGAAAAGTCGCCATGGCACGCCTATTTCCAAGTACTTCCTACGAAATTCGACAGCCTAATGTTCTGGAATGCTGCCGAGCTTGACACTCTACAAGCCAGTGCCGTGGTTGATAAGATCAGTAGAAGTCAAGCTGAAGAGTCCTGGAAAGAGACAATGATACCGGTGATGCTATCACATCCTGAACTATTTCCGGTCCCTGGTCAAAGTGACTCAGCCAGGACAGCAGAACTGATCAAGCTTGCTCATATCGCGGGCAGCTCCATTATGGCCTACGCTTTCGATATAGACAAGGACGGTGACAAGGAAGATGCAAGCAATGACTCGGACGACGAATTTGAAGAGGACGACGAAGACGAGCCGCTCAAGGGTATGGTGCCTTTGGCTGATATGCTGAACGCAGATGCGGACAAGAATAACGTGCGTTGTCTCCTTTTCATCCGACTTCATTATGGAAAGTTGACTTGGGTTTTCATACAGGCACGTCTTTTTCAAGAAAACGACTACCTCATCATGAGATCTACGAAGCAAATCAGGGCCGGCGAGCAAATCTTCAACGACTATGGTCCTCTCCCTCGCTCGGATCTCCTGCGCATGTACGGCTACATCACTGATAACTACGCTCAATATGACGTCGTCGAGATTTCGCATGATCTTCTTCTTGAGGTAGCAGGCAAGAAGCATGCTAAAGATGCAACTTGGCTGAACCGTGCACAACAACTTGAGGAGATTGGCATTATTGACGATGGATATGCCATACCGAGACCTGCAGCAGAAGCCGGAAAGCTTGAAAAAGCCATCCCCGGTCAGATACACATGCTCTTGCGCGCTCTGTGTACTGAGGCCATCAAGACCCCCAAAGACACCGTCACTATCAAAGAAGCTGCGCTGCTACAGTCTGCTCTCACAAAACGGCTGTCGGAATATGGCACCTCTCTAGAGGCAGACAGGTCTGTTCTAGAGTTACTGGCTCGCTCTGAACCGGGGAATTCACTCATTCCCTCCGGCTGCGACGAGCATCGATATGCCATGGCACTGCAAGTGAGGATTGGAGAAAAGGAGATCTTACACCAGTTGATCGGATTATGTCAGGCCCACATTGCACATAAGAATCAGGAGATCACAGCGGTGTCTACAAAACGACAATCCAGCGATGACTCGGATAACAAACCTAAGAAAGCAGCACGAAAAGACAATACACGAGGTTGAATTTCTAGCTTGCAGTCGAATCATTCTGGCTCCGACCAAAAACGACAACAATTATAACGCGTCACTGGGACCACAAGTTCTGAGAAGGAACCTCGTCGTCCTATCCAACCGAACACACAGCGTCGGCTCTCAACGGGAAAGCTTTGTGATGTGTTCATCGTTTTCATTGACGAAGGCGCTGGCCTCGATACTATGTACAGTTCTATCATCCGCCGACCGGCTCTACCGCATTGACTCCGCGGTCAGGAAGCTAATGAGCTCTCCCAAACTTGATCCATCATCGTACAATGCCGCAAAAGAGGGCAACTCTGTCGTCATTGAGAGCCTAACAAGAGCCCGGATTCATCCGAATTTTGAGGAGAGAGCCCTATGAATTGTACTCTCTGAGACAGAAAAGGGAAAACGTGGTATCCAAAATAATCATGACATTTCAAGAAGGCGCAGGCGTCGGTTGTGCATACTGCCCTGCCGAAGAAGAGTGACTTGGGCCGGCGGCATCGAACTGTGATCTCCTCGCTGCTATCAGTTGTGCATCTGCGGGTCGGCTGCCGCCGATGAGATACGCCCGCTGGGACATGCGAGCAAAAGTTAAGTCGGGCAAAGTGGGATCAGCGTCAGGGAAATCTTCGTCGTCCGAGTCGAATTTAAACCGATCGTCTTTGGACCAATCATCAGTTGAGGAATCTCGCCGCATCCGAGGGAGCCTTCGATCAATTATGATACGCCCACCACGACCTATTCTCCGTCTGAAGGAAGGCATATGTCCGACGGATTCTTCATCCGCTGGACTGGCATACCGAAAAGGTGTCGATGGTCGGGATACATCTTTCATCACCACATCAGTACCATTTGGCAATTCCTGCGACTCTTCATCCGAGATACTAGCTGGCGGTGTTGGCAGGTATTCAGTCGCAGCCATCGCCTCACGGAAATGTTCACCAGGCGAAGGATAGTCATCTTCAAGATCAGGGGTAAGTGGTGCCATGGTCTTGTCGACAAAACCCTCATTCCATCTGATGTGTTTCTCGACATTGATCTGGATCTCCCTTTGGATTTCACGTTCCCGAGCAGCGGTAACATCTTCCAGCGTAAGCAGTTCGCGACCTGGACCAGGAGCCATAGGCATCCTGAGTTGCTGAGCGAGAGCGGCTTGGTTGGGTGTCATGCCTGGTGGCACCTTCTGCTTCTGAAATAGAGGTGAGTTCGAGTCCACTCTTCTGGGAAAGGGTTGCTTTACCTTTTGGTTGATGAGAAGGTCGTCGTCGCCCTTCATGCCCAATTTTCTCTTTGTGTCGCGGAGAGCTTGCCGTTGCTCGAAGACCAGTCTATCAACCTCGAGGGCTTCCTTGCGAAGCTGTTCTCTTCTCTTCACCATCAGAAGCATGCTTCTCGCGGTCTCTAGCTCCATACGGAGTTTCCGCAGCTTCTCGGCGCTCTGTGCATCACGATTCCTGGTCTTTCGGATCTGGCGCAATTCGCGCCGTCTAAAACATACATATGGATCGCTGTCGTCGGATTCCTGCCCAGTCTCGAATTTGAGGCGAGGAGCCAATGGGCGATTACCAGTCGCGGTCCGCCGTGTTTTCCAATGTTCATATATGAACCTGGAGAGGCTGCGGAGAAAAGGAGGGGTGGTGTCGTCGACCTGTTCCACAAGTTCTTCTAAAGGTAAGACAGGGGGGCTATCGACGGCAGCAAAAGGTTGTTTTGCCTGGGCGGTCTCTTCAAAAAAATTCATGACCACTTCAAATTGATCTTCGCTGCACGGTTCCTGCCCAGCAGGCAATTTTCCGTTGATTAACTTCAAAGCGAGCTCATCGTCTTCGTCCATGCAATACGCGACTCCTGCACAGTCTTCGACCGTGGCGGAGGAGCGGATATAGGTGGCGGGCTGTTGAAACCCTTTTGGGTAGAGGACGTCATACTGCACATCACTGGCGATAGTGGGTGGAGTGGGAATGTAAGCATCTTTGATTTTTGCATCTGCTTTGGCAATCTCGGATGCCTTGATGGCCTGTTGAAGATGATATTCCTGCGAATCTGTGAGTGTTGTGCCAAGAGGATGATGATGACTAAGCGGGCAAGAAAAGGACACAGCGACAAGAAAGAACGGTTGAGGCAGAGGTGAAGAGGACGAGGAAACACGTACTGATTCTTCGGCTTTCTCAACCCCAGTTTCTATAGCAGCACGCTGGGTTTCGTAGTCAGACGGAGGATCAACCTGATCCTCGCGAAAAATCTGGACATTTTGCTTGGAGTTGAGTTTCTTTGGGCGGGTGGCGCGGCCGCGGGTGGACATGAGGAATTTTCAAAGTGGTGACTGAACTCCCTCATGGAGCAGAGCGAGGAGTGCAGCCGCACCGTGACTCCTGCACCACCAGAGCGTGCAAGACCACCCTCAAAAAGAGTAGCAAAACAGGCTCGAAAATTCCTCAAATTGGCAACACTTGTAGTTTGATGCACGCTGACTATGAATCCTTTTTCAAAATGATGAAAAGGATAAAATTAGGACGACGATGGCCGATGGGCTGTGATGGCAGGACGGTGCTGGAGTTGTGGTGGGTGCAGGTGCAGGTGAACAGTGGGAAAAAGAGGGTGAAAACTCAAGGGCAGAGTGACGGGTGATGGGGGGGGATCAACTGGCACTGGGCAGCCAGGACACACCAGTTAGGAAGAGAAAGGGGGGCGAGTTGCGGGAAGTGCTCAAGTGGTACCTAGGCGGCCTGGAAGCTAGTAACTTTGGGCACTCATAGGGGCCTTCGGGGGGCCAGTCCCATTACCTCGTACAGCACCACCAAATAGTTTAGGCATCTGCAGTGGCAGCGTTGCAGCGCAGGCAGCGTCACCCGGCGCCCAATTCCTCCTGTCAAAGTCCCCAGCGTGACGTCCGTTCCACCGAACCAGCGAGCAGCCACAGCAGCCACAGCCACATGTGGCTGCAACGACTAGCCAATATAGGTTAGCTCACACGTGACCTCACAGCTCCCCACCCGATTGGGTGAATCGGCCACCGTTTACTTCCAACAAGACTCCCCATGCTCTTGCGGCTGCCCTGCAGAAGGATCAACGGCTTGAAACTCGTCTTGTGCCCTTTTTCAGCTTTCAATTTCCCCTTCTCACATTCACATCTCACACCCCTGAACTGCGCCTTCAACAGCGAGCCCATACTTCAGTTCACTCCCACGGAGTATCCCTCGACAACTAACCCCCATCTCCAACTGAGGCCGTCACATCCCCTCAGTTGCCCGCCATGGCTACGCCCGCGTTTGGGGCCCAAGCCTCAACGGTCGCGGAGCCCAACAATGCCGCCCTCTACGATGCTCGAAGACGGCAGCAAGTCACAGGCTCCCAAATCCTCGATAACATTGTCTCCTTCTCAAATTGTACGTTGCAGCCTTCAATTGAAATTAGACGCGGCTTGAGACCGTTGCGGCGAGCAAAGCAACTCCGCACGTGCTAACGAGTGCGTCTCCAATAGTCGATCGTGATGAGGTCGACAGACTGCGAAAACGATTCATGAAGCTGGACAAGGTAAGTCCACCCTTCACAGCGTACATTGTCGGGCGGTTGTTGACATGCGAGACCGTACCAGGACAATAGCGGTACTATTGAACGCGAAGAGTTTCTCTCATTACCTCAAGTATCTTCCAACCCCTTAGCGACGAGGTATATCGGCCTGTGCCCCTCCCTCTTCCTTTGGCTAATATCCTTACAAGAATGATTGCGATCTTCGACGAAGATGGTGGGGGCGACGTTGACTTCCAAGAATTCGTGCTCGGCCTTTCGGCCTTCTCCTCCAAGGGCAACAAAGAAGAAAAACTGAAATTCGCATTCAAGGTCTACGATATCGATCGGGACGGGTACATTTCCAACGGAGAGTTGTTCATTGTGCTCAAGATGATGGTTGGCTCGAATCTGAAGGACCAACAACTCCAGCAGATTGTGGACAAGACAATTATGGAGGCCGATAAGGACGGTGACGGAAGGATTAGCTTTGATGAATTCACGCAAATGGTCGAGAGTACAGATGTGAGCATGAGTATGACGCTTGGTGAGTCTTGGACATTCTGCAAAGACATTTTACCACCGACTCTAATATGGTGATAGATCAATTCTGAGGTAGGCATGGCGTTGCGGTCCAGATATCTCCGTGGCTGATCGGCGAATGCGACACATACATATGATGAGTAATGACCCAAGCAGCTCGAGGACACCCAGGTTTGCCATGTCGGGACAGTCCGCCACCAATAAAGGATGGCCAGTAATGACCTGTTCTTCCCCCTTGGTGTCTTTCTGTTTTTCTCCTCTCGATCCTTCTTCCTGGCACCCTCGGTCAGGGATTTCCTGCGTTTCCTGTTTCTGAAAGTCTCTCTGGTGCAAATGCAAGCCGTTTACACCCTGAAGTTTGCAATTCGAAGTCAATGCCAATATTCTCTTCTTATGGCTGCACGGAAGATGGCCCATGGAAGGGGAAAGAGTGTTTCCGAAAATTGTCAAATACGCGAAGAGGAAATGAAACATGTCAAATTCCGACCTCCCTCATCTTTTTATTCAGTCAGATTGATTGGGTTGAGTACAGAAGCCCTTGGCAACATCACAAGCGAAGTATCACTGGTGCAAGCTAATCGCCGGGTCATGTTGCAATCCCATGTTCAATTGGTCAGTAGCTGGTCAGACGCGGAATGTTACAAGGCACAGCCTGAAAAAACTGACGTCCTGTTGGTACTTTCTATCAAAAACCTTATACTGGTGGTCGGCATTGTGCCAAGGGTAAATACAGTCTCACTATCTACCTTGCCGGATCTACATACCTAGCTACGTAAAAATCTTTGGCCAATCATTGTTGAACCCATCTTCTTCCAATGGACTCTCCTCATGAGCACGAATATCGTTTGTCCTACGACCGTTTTCACTTTTGTGAAATGACGACGCCGGAAAGTTTTCCACAGCAGAACCGTAAGGATGGTTAAGGGATGGTCAACGGGCCAGCGATGACCCACCCAGTAGATCCAGGACGTTCTCGGCACGGTCCATCGCCCTTGGGTGTAATGATCGAAGAAAATGATTCTGAAAACCCTCAACGAAAAGTGCGTTGGTCGGCACAAGTGTGCTCGGAGAGACGGAGGGAGAAGAGCCAGAGCGGAGCCCCACCGTATAGTAATAGTATAGTATAGTACTTAAGGCAACAAATGTAGCGGCGAGAAAGCCAGAGTCAGAAAGGCGATGGTCTTCATTGGGGCGTCGTCCATACTTGCCCCCTGCCCGATCCTCCTCGCGGTACGGCTGTGGTGATGAGCGATGGTGCTGAATGCCAGTTCACCAAAAAAAAAAAACAAAAAAAAAAAGATAAAAAGCACTGAATCTCCGATCTCATCTGCATCTATGGTGATGGGTAACTGGAGTGAGTGGGTAGCGCAGACCAAAGTGACCTCATTCTGTAGTCTGTCCCTGTTGGATTGGTTGTGCGCGCTGCTGCTGCTTCCGGAGTGTTTGCAGCTGCCGTCTCAAGTCTTTTGCCACGCTGCTGAGCCGAACAATTGACCCTCGCCGGGGGTTCTTGTTCTTGGGGAATAATGCGTTGGTACTCGTCTATCATGCCCTTGGTCGTATTCACCCCTGGCTGCAGTGTTTTCACCGAGTGTATCGCCGGTCTTGCAATGTCGTGTAGCTTCCGACAATCTGGCCGGGGTTGGTAATTGGTCCTCGATGCTGGTCAGCGCCTTGGTGAAGTTTTCCAGCTCGTGCAGAACATATTCCTCTAGGAATAGGTGTTAATTGCTCCCGCGGTCCAGCAAGTCAAGGACTCGGAGGATGCAAAAACTGGCCCAATGTGATCAGTTGAATCTATACCAAGAAAGAGGATCTCTTCTCTATGCAATACCGCACAGAGCTTTCCACATCGCTATACACCTGAGGGTTGAATGGGGACATCATGTGGTTGATGCCAGGATGGCTAGTGTCAACCGACTGCTGCATTCTGTTCGATTTCCACCTTTCTGCTCTTCCATGCCGGCCCATCTTTGGCAATTAGTAATTACAGTTTTGTACCGATCAAATTCGAAGTCCTCAGCTCAGCATACTGGATATCTCTGGCAGACTTTTCGGGCAGATAATTGACGCCGCAAAGACACGGTACCGTTGTGGCTGTTGGCAATGAAGAAGACGTGCACAAGAAGACAGTGTTGTTAGCGAGGAAGGCTCCTGTTGATGGAATCAGGCGTACATTGCTGTTGTCTAGAAGTTAGCGACAGAGATGCCGTGTTCTTTTGATACATCGTGATATCGGCCGCGCAGATGTCTGAGAGAGGTCACTATTTATGCCTCGCAGTTAGACCACGGCTCAGCCATACGTTCGAGTGCCCTAATCCAGGGGAGTCCAGGAATGAGCGCGCGTTTGAGCATCGTGCCACTGTTGCATTAGTTTAGGTGGTCGCAGCTCCAGTCGCCTCTTGCGAGTCATCTGGGCCTTCTCGATTGCAAGAACTTCGTGATTTGAGTCAATGTAGAGTTGTCGAAACTTTTAAGCTTAAATAGCACCAAGCTAGCTAGGTAGCCCTTCGCTGTCACTACAATTTCACCGTCAAATCCGGCAGGTAGGGGCCCCTACGCCGGAGGCTCGCCCAAAAGTTAATCACTTCCTTTCCACCTCAAGTTCCTGAGCCTCAAGTGCGACCGACGTCGGATCAGGATGGGAAAAGATTGACCCAACACAGGTTCGCTGAAGGGAAAAAGGGGGGCTTAAGTGGTTGTATCGGATTCTTATCTGGCTGGGTAGTGGGCACCCTGCAAAATGCCAACTATTCTGAATGGGAGTTCGCTAAAAATGGGCACATAGAAACTTTACGAGAATTATGAGAGGGTCAAGCTGCTTTCCGCAAATGTCAGCGCCGTTGTATTGTTGCTATCGCTGATTTTGGTTGATTAGGTTGACAACAATGGGACGAGGAGTGTGAACTAAGTAAAATTTCAATGGGCCGGCGATGAAATGCCATTCTAAATGGCGCAAGGCAGGAAATTGAAGGTTACTTTCCTTTCTATGCCTTTCTTTCGCTCTGTAGACTAAATACTCCTTGTTTTTAGATCTTCGCAGAAGCGTCCACCTTGACCTTCTGACGAGGCTGACCAATAAGGGTCGCTCGAGTCCCGGCTATCACTTGATATCGCGAGACGAGGTTCAGAGGTGCGAACATTAAGCGGCCCATTTCGGACTGTCCGAGGTCCGTTCATAAGGGCTTTATATTGAATTTAGTGCTTCATTCACCCGCTCAAGTGTCTAGACTCCCTGTGCCTTATGACCAA